CCTGTCTTTTGACATCTGTTGCATCTCTGCAACTTCTTGTAGTCTGTAGAGCGAGCCTTCTCGCTCTGTACATAACAGAGTTCCATCGGCTCTGGACCTCCGCTGTCATATCGTCTTGGTTGACGATATGATGTCGAGCCGGCGCGAGCCTGTCTCAGACTGAAGTCTTCCTGCTCCGCAATGGAAATGGCTTGTTCTAGTGAATCTAGTTCAAGCCGGAACAGGTGAGTCTTGACGGGACCATCCGCAAGACCCTGCATGAACACCGAAACCAACGTGTGTTCATCCACCGGATTGGAACTTATACAACTCGTAAGATGTCGTATATGTTGCGCGTAAGCATGCACATCACGCTTACCCTGTTTGAGCTTCAAGAGTTCGGTTCGAGCTCTGAACTCAGCTCTAGGCGGTTCAAACGTTTGTCTGAGCCGCGACTTGAAGACTTCCAACGACCCAAACGCATATGGGTCGTGCAACTTGAGCCCCAGTGCCCAAGTCTTGGCACGTCCTGCCAGATTTGACTGGGCAAATGCAACTTGCATTTCCCCGTCGTCGATGCGACGCCCCCCCATAAGGTCTCGGGTCGACGCGAATGCATCGACCCACCAGCAGCAGCCTGCTGCTGTCTCAACAGTTCAAACTGTTGAGCACCCTGTTCTCTCAACAACTCTGCTTGTTGGAAACCTTGTTGGTGAAGCAAGGCTACTTTCTCGCGTTCTGCGTCAAGTTCATTTTGAATGAACTTGGCGATAGTATCATGTTGGGCATCTCTATTGAGAGCCTCTAGCATGACGCTAACAGCATGATGGCCCATGGTTGAACTCATCCGTTCAACCGCATCCCATTCGACATAGCTCAAATGGGAATAGCCGGCACGCGTAGCGTGAAAGCTTTGGTCATCTTCATCATCCAATACATTCGTGTGTGAACGTGGTCCTTGGACGGACTACGAAGTGCTACCAGGTGTAACGGGGCACCCTGAAGCTTGTACTGGTGACAGTACAAGCTACTTATTCTGATGACAGAATAAGGCGGTGCCTCGTAACTTCACGTACACTCGTACGTGCAGAGGAAGACGGTAAGAAGAAGCGAGTACTTAGTTTAAGTAAAAAGTAGAACTGTATTTATCATAGTTAATGTCTGCAATAAATCACTATTTATCTTCATCTAACTATGTCTGAATCCAAATGTGCATATCAACTATCTGCTCACCACTCATTGCGTGCGTCTGTCGTGGCGCGTCTTCGTTGGTTGATATAATGGCCTATATCAACCAATTAGGAACTACTCGTAAGTGCTACATAATATTTGTCCTTATGACAATATTCTGAGAATATAACTCTAATAGTTATATTCTATAAACAATTTCTTATAAATTGTTATGTAACGATTCACCCCGTTACCACAAGCAGTGCGAAGGTCGAAGTGTGGGGGAAAGGAACGCGATCATTCTATTTCGCTATGTGTTAAAAAGGTCTGGCGCTTGCTCAGCGCTTATGACGGTGCGCAGTGCGCTTGCGGTTGCTCGTACCGGCAGGCGTGTTCTTGTACATGACTATGTAGTCGAGCATTTCAACTATTAAGCTGCCTGACGATTTTCTGCTGCTCAGTTGAGTACGAAGGCGTTTAGCGTGTGTTAAGAGCCGTGGACACACACAAGCGGTGGATGGGGCATGATTCAAGTGGATTAAGTGTCGACCGACACTACATTGTCGAATGCTTGTGTGCGAATATCGTTAGCTCGAGGCTCTGCCACTTGTCGGTAGTGAAAGTGAAGCTGGTGGACTGCGCACTCGGTCTTATCTACAAAAGTATGAGTCGATTTGTGGCCAAGTGCCCGTATGGATGTGAGCCGGACGGCCGGTGTTCGGTCTCGAGCGGGTATCGAACGAATTCCTACTGCGGTACAGTCGAATCTGTGTACGCTGAGATGTCATGTTTAATATGTTGATTACAGGACTCCCTATACTAACCTGTTAGCCTCGGCAGACATATATACTATAAGATAGCAGAGGGTACTAGCTATCGGGTTATGGTGGCGTCGTACGTTGCAAAATTTACCTATCAAATTAAATTAAATTACATGAATAATTAGTAGTCATATCACATGAAGGCAATAAACGTTTGCCAGATACACAATCGTAGTCAATTATAAAAAGGATTAAAATTTAAAAGCTCACTCAGTACCACTCACTACTCTTCGCCCACGCTAAAAAATTTACCCAAAATTAGCAGAATACTAGCATCAAAGACTACTGACACGGATCCTCATCTTTTGTTTGTACCATTTAATCAGATTGTGCCTCAAGTTCAGAGACACTTCGCTATCCTTGTCCTTTGCTAGGGTTGTGGTTCTTCGTTAGTATGACGGTGTAATTTTCTGGCTGACTCTTCATTAGTCACTTAATAATCTTCATAAAGGAGACGGCAGTGCCCATCCAAATTTTATTGATCAAGCGAATCTGAAAACAGTGTAGAAAGAGAAGGAATAAAAGGAAGGAGCTGAATCACAGGAGGAGGCAATTGCAGACAGATTGACCGATTGTAGACAGATTAACTAATTGCAGACGAATTGACTAATTGCGAAAAGATAACCATCTTAAGTAGTCCCTGGACCTTGTATCAGCTGTCCCAGAACAGCCGTCGTTAAAAAAATTGCTACTCCGCAGCCTACCAAACTAAATTTGCAGTTTCAACGTCACACAAACCGCCTTCGATGCTTGGCTTCAATTGATTACTACCCCACGGCTGAAACAAATTCTCCAATAATAAACTTACATTTTACTTCATGGCTACTAGTATTAAGTTATGAGATAGCGACTATAGAACAATCATAGAATGACCCTGGTAGACGTCCAATCCTACAAAATAGCAGGGGTTATCAGTTATCGCGGGAAACGTTATCAGAGGAAGCAGTAGGTGACCACCAAAACCCCGATAAACCGAGTGTATAAATGGTTTTTAATGCACACTATAAACCACATTTGTTAACGAATACGAGGAAATAATTATTCGATATCGTGCCACCAAAACAAGTCGATACAATTTTTCAAGTAAAAAGAGATTGACTGAGATTATTCAATGTCTTTTATCCATTATGCTTGTGTGTTTGAAGTCTATAATCGTACAAGCCAGGAATATATTAACAGACGCGGCGAAGATCCGTGACACCTTGCTAGACGTTCCTCACTCCACACTAAGGTTAAAAAAGGTTAAGACAGGCATGCAACTGATCTGCTTAATCAATTGTACTTGCTCCTCAATGTTCTCACATAGCTAGCGTGGTTAAAAATGAACGTATACCCTGGTCCAGAATCGTATCACAATGGCAGACGTCAGGGACTGCGCGCTATGAAAAATGGCATCTTTTCGCTCACACTTCAAATGCGCTATACAGATAGAGATCATCAGGAACCATATTTGTCGCCAAACCTGTTCGCCCTCCATGACATCATCTAAAAACCTATTTAACAGTGTAAGCCACTAAAGCTTTATAACCCGGGAGCCTGTCGGTTGGGACGGTTGCCAAAACAACTAGAAAAGACACGAGAAGAAGTAGATCTGGAGCCAGTCCATTGTCTGAGGAATTCAACCCAGCACGCACGCTCCTTTAGCCACACCCAAAACAAGTGAAGTATAGTCTCAGGCACCTCGTAACACTACCGCAATTCGGACATCAACAATCCGTAAGACATTTATGTGATAGAAATTGATTCGCTTGGTAAAAATGCGATGCGCTGTTCACACTGGGAAGTCGGACAGCCCGTTTTCAAGCTTTCAGACCGCAATTGGACGTTGACAGGCTGCAGCCCGTAGTCACGTACTCGTGCAAATAATCAAATCCAATTGCTGTAGCACAAGTTGCAATGGGGGGTATGGAGGTATACAAGAAAATGGAATGCCTTTCGATGGATTGCCTGATGTGGAATTATTCAGAACTGTATGGTACACCATCCAAATACCTATGATGACTTAAGTTTGCGTAAAAGTTTACATCGTGCTGAGTAACTATAGTAGTTCAGCTTAAACGCAAACCTTCCGACTCCGTGTCTAGCTCTGGTATTCCCGTCTCAAAATAACGATGTAGCCCATCAGCGTCCTGCTTCAAGGGAAACGGATCACCATCTGAAAGTTATCGACCTCTGCGACTCACTCACCCATTTTGAGCTATGACAAAACGGGGGGATGTTAAATCGACAAGGCAGGCTTCAGACCCATTCCAGGCGAATCGGAGTTTCAGATGATGCCGACAAAAAGATGTCACTCATCGCCCTAATTGGGCTGGGAACATGTTAAGCCTCTTGCCCTTAACGATGTGTGAATCGTAGCGGAGCTACATAGCTCTTTAAGTCAGAAAAAGACTTTTTCAACAAGCCAATGGCTTACGGCTAATAGCCTTTTAGTTCTACGGAACTAATAAATCAAGTAAAAGAGTTACCTAGTTTTACGGAACTCGGGTGGACCCTACGAGCTAACGGCTCAGCTACTGTAGCTCTAAAGAGCTACACACACAATGTGCGAAAGGGTAATACCAGAGTCTAAAGACTCCTGAACCCACGACAGTTACAAAGAACTTTCAAACGCAAGATGCGAAAGGGGGGGAAGTCTAGGGACTTCTGCTCAAAACGAGAACTGAACTTTATTTAGATTTTATATCAAGGAAAATCCTACTTTCTGTACCCTATATTATCCTAAATACAAACATTAGCATTCGAACTAAATGGATGGTTGCCACATCACTCAGTCATCAAATGATGACGGTACAAAGTGCGTACACGGTAAGTACCGTAAACCTGGGAAGATCGATCAATTGATGTTCTCTTGCTGATATAAATACTAAGGTCACACACATCCATCCATACCAATAATGGGATGTCTTTGACCAATTTAGCCAAAGGCTAGTGTGACCCCGTCTCACCCTTCCCCACCAGACTGACGTTACCACAAATGTCCCTCGACTCATTCTCCAATAGAGACTTGTTACAAAGTAACGCACTCACATGGACCGACCTGGGCACCTTTTGGAAGATAATGCTCTAGCCAACTATCTTGGTTTCGAGGATGTGGGCTTTGACAGTGGTAGTGATACCAAAACCGAGGGGGAGGAGCGATCCAAACTCAGCACACCTGTGCGTGGGGATATTCCCCATACGGCACCTAATCCGTTCCCCGAACGTAGTGCCGCGACTGCGCTAACAGCGCTGGGAGCAATGTCCCCCATGGATACATCCGTTATCACTAACCCGCTCGACGAGGAGCAACAACGCATGCTTGATTAAGCGGCAAGCGCACGGCGCAAGTCAGAAGTTCAGAGAACGTTGCAACGACACGGTGAATTTACGCTCACTCCACCTGGCGTGGAAGTACTCATTCGTCAAGCGTCACGCCATACTTTGGCAACATGGGCTACCGGCCCCGAGGCGAAAACGCCCACTAAACTCAAATGCCGCAAGGCTCTTCGAGAGAAGTGCTTGGAACCTAGTTTGATGACTTTGAGTGAATACAGAGAACGGCTGCGAAGCAGTCCACTTAATGTCAACACAACTTCGTTTACACCGCCAGGTATGTCTTGTTATATCCTGGACGAAATTATCGGATACACCGTTCATTACATCGTAATGGTGAGGACGCATCATTATAAGACACTAATTTCCCTCAATTCTGAAAGTTTAAAAAGACGTTGAAGATGGTACACTTTATAACTGTATTTCCTTCAGTTCTTTCGCGGATGATTTATTGTCCTTGTTGGTCTAAACTGTACACTTTCCCTTATATACGTGATCGGTCTTTTAATATTTGCCGCTATTTCACGACTTGCTGATGTCGCAAGACGATCTTTTCCACTGAATTTGGCAGCTTTGTGCTCGAAGTCGATGATCTGGATGATGCATTCACCAAATCTTTTTTTTTGCCAGAAAATTCCTCAAATTAAAGCTAAGCTTTAGTCAGGTTGTTAATAATCCTTCGCCTCTTTAGTTTACTATTAGTTCCGTCAAGATAAATTTGAGACTCTAGTGATTTCTTAAAGACGAGCAGACGACCAAGAAGTACACACAACATAATTATTATGCGAGAGTAATGGCAAAAGCACTTTGTGTTTAAAACAGGGTACTAAAGCTTAGCCGGCTCTATCTTCTGCTTGTTGTAATAAATATTGTGCTCTTGCTTCTTTTTTTCTTTCGCTCGCTAGAAAGCAACATCGTACAATAGCTAAATCAGGTGCATCCATCCTGATAGCAAAAGGCTGGAAAGTTTTGAAAGTTGCAACACAGGAGTGAAAACGACTTGGATCGTAGCTGTGCAAGTAAAGATCATAGTCCGAAACAGTAATGCACACATTGAATTTTTAGTCCTTCATTCAACTGTGGAGAGGACCTGCAACTTGATCAAATTAGGGCAGAAACTGGAAACGCACGAAGTCAAGCCAAGAAAACGCCATATTTGTCTTTGCCACAGGACATTACAAATATATATATATACATGTATGTATATACTTTTGTTACCTCTTCTAAGTCCATTCGCACATCATTTCGACCGACGAAGTATGCATGACGATAAATTCTCGCAACGCTCAGTGGCCCCTTTGGCAGTTTTGTAGACAAATGTCGTTCATCGCGTAAAGAAGTGGTCTAACGCTTTAGATAACTTCATCAAGGTTGACGATGTGTGTAAACAAGCATATATCATCGAAGTTAATTTATCACGACCTCACGCTGATCGCTAAAGAAAATATATAATCAGTCAGTGGACTGATCCAGGTCTTACACTATTTTTATACGAGAACAAAAGCCATCTGGTGCCGAAAAGTCGAATTTTTTTAGAACTTGACCTAGATATAATTTTAATTAAATTTATGCCAAAAATCAGTGAATGCCATCCATGGCATAGGTAGTTCTTCTTACCGTGGTATCGGAGTTGCGGGTAATATGTCACATGCTTTTAAATGTCAAAAAATATGACAAATGCAACCCGACAGATATATACACAAAATGCGGTCGCTTAGAATGGATCGTTGTGCTTAAGCATTCAAATTGCATCCCTTATATTTTCCGTACATTCTCGAGAAAAGGCTCCTTTTTCGGTCTGACGCCTTTAAGATGCGCAAATATATTTTGCTCCCGAATTTATCGCAATTATATGTTGAATCTTAATGTATAAAAGTAAAATTCGTCAGGACATTCCGTAAAAAAGTAAAGTATCACAATACTTTCACAGAAGCTTAAATGATAAATTTTTGCTATCTCTTCCTAATCCTCTTGAAGCATTCTACTCGTGAGTTTTACCATAAGACGGCATCTGTAACGCCTTGCGTACATCTTTGGCAGCTTGTGCAATAAAGATCAGTCTAGCGTGCATAACACTCCTCCGTGACCGTGCTGTTGATACATGTTACACATTTTTATATGGTTCAAGTTAGGTACGGCAAATATTCTTGAAACGAGACTATGTTATAAGTGGCGTATTCAGCCTTAAGAGAGTTACAATGTTGTACTTGGCACGTAGAGATAGGTTGACATTTCCGAATTATGATTTGCGGAGCTAACCTAACTTCTTTGCCTGAGTAAGACTTATATACTCGTAGAGTCACTAAGGTTTTTATGCTTGAAAGGGAGATACATTAAAAGCCATTAGTCTTCTCAGGCGTTGTGAAACTAGTATCTTAGTACCTTAAAAAGCTCAGAAGATCGTAGTCCTGATATAAGTACTTCATTCCGTAGGACTGAATCAAGTTATGTATATTCACGTTCCTTGCGCTCAGTCATTAAATTCTTCACCATTCGGGGTCGCAATATGCTTTCAACAATGAGTAGGAAATAAATGATACATCGCGAAGATAACGACGTACAGATTTCATCAAGCATTACTTAAGGAAGCAACAGGTGAAGAGCTTTATCGCACTTATTGACACATGTTAGGTACATCTAGCCTTATTCACATGTACAGAAGATAACCGACTAAATTGCATTATAAAATCCAAAGAGCGGTCATTCCCATTACAAAACCTAGATTCGGAGAAGTCCAACAAACAAAAGTGATATTCACTTTGGTTTTCAGGATATTTAAAGACACGTTTAGCTGTTCAAATCCCGCAAATAGCGACGTTAGCAATTGTGTATGGCCGCCAAATTATATCGCACATGCACCCTGATGAAACATTACCAGAAAATCATGTCTTATCGTATCTGCGGATGTCCACAAAGAGCTCATTTTAAGATCGCAAATCTAGAGAAGATCAAGCAGTTGCCTGTATTTAACAAGCTGAAAAGGCAACTAATGCTCTAGAATAAATTTGAGCAATGTCTTCTTTAATGTCTGCCTGTTAAGTTGGCGTTTTTGTAAATGTTTTTATGTGAATATCATATCAAACTCAATTATATTAACTTACGCAATGCACGCACCTTCGGATTGCCTGACTATATAATTTATGTACATTCTTTTAAATCTTGTTCAGGCAGCTTATCATGTATCTGATTGCTTAGTCATCAAATCGATGGCCAAAGTTTTGGTACAACTCAAAGCTGCATGTACATACAAAGCAAATGACTGATCCGCCACGAAGCTATGGGACCTAAAAAAAGGATTTACTTTATTATCTTAGCCTTACAAAGTCTACCAGACCCATCTTGTCTTCTTGCCGCCATTGATACTTGCAGCACTCTCTTTTTACCGGCTGAAAAAGTCGGCGTAGGCGACTGATGAATCAGTTATTGGTTGCATCGGTTCTAGATCCAATTATGCGGAATGATATAATAAATGATGAAGAGTTGTCATAAGAGACCGGTACAAGCATCCTTTATAAAAACGGGTGATTGATTTGGATCACAGAGCTCAATACAGCACCATGAAGGGGATATAGCAATTTTCTATTCGTATTGGTTGCAATTCGCACTACATAAAGAAGAAAAAAATAACGGGTTATTGTTCCGGATCAGTCCTCAACTCAGTTCTTTAACTAGCCGGATCAAACACCAGTCCGACCCAATAAAATGGTCCAGGTGGAAGATCTGTATACGACTATACAATTCAAATATGCAGATTACTCCCATTTAGACTTTACGCACCTTTCCTAAAAATCGATCGTAATCGCGGTTAAAACAATAAGGTAAACCAAAAATGCCCCAGATAATTAAAAAGTAAAAATAATACCTCGGATGATTGTAAAATAAAAAATGTCCCAGATAATTGGAAAATAGAAAAGGGGCGATGATATGTCCACCACTCATTTTTGGTAATTACCCCCCCCCGAAAACCTGAATAAGGTTTTTTTACAAGTTGTATGAAGTCGTTTTATGGAAATCAAATCGATATGTCCTACGGACCGTTATTCTCACATAGACGATGCAGCCCCCGCAAGAATCTACACAAACAATGATAAAAACTTGTAGTGGCGTGAGCCTATTACATTTGTATGATCCCTGATACATGTTTATTAGAAAAACATCACAAACGTTGATGATGTTCGTGAATATCACCATATGGAATAATATTTTAAAACACTCACTGATTGGCTGATATGGGCTAACACATCAGCCAGCTCTAGCGGTCCAAATAACGACGGACGCGCGCAATGAGTGATTAGCGGGACTTTAGCATACATTTTTGTAGGGTAAAATAGTTGAGTTGGGACTAAAACATAGGTACATAACAATAGGACTTTATTATTACAGTTTTACTTTTGCCAGCAACTAGTCAGTTCCTGGTTGCTTCCCTTTTCTCTGCCAAATTACAGAGGAAGTGAGGCACCTATCACTCTGCTGTCGGTGATAGTAGCTCCACACTAATTGTCCAGTGTGCTGCTACGGTGCTATGTTACAAGTCTGGTATGTTCTAATGGGTGTATTCGATAGCAAATAAAGGTGTCTACGGCCATTTTAAGGCGCGCGTACTTACTTCTTAACTTTCGACCTTTAGTCCCGACTACAAAAAGGGCTAACGAGTTTTACGTGCAATAGAGCGAGATTATACAAATTTTCTGCTGCCGATCAAAAGACTAGACAAGTTACATATGATGCGAGCACAGACTGATACTGGAAAAAAATCGACAAATCGACGTCATCAAGCTGTGGAAGGTGAATTATTATATTGGAGCGCAAACCATGGCGCGTACAATGACCTCGACATGGACACTGTGCAAGGTCAAAAATTGGGCCCAAGCGAAAAAACCCCCCCCAAAAAAAAAAAAAAAAAAAAAAAAAAAAAAAAAAAGCTTTTCGACGATCTGTAAGTGAAGATCTACCGCTATGATCTCAGGCTTGACTCGAAGGACCGAATATGCAACTTGATGGCGGCAAATACTCAATTCATCAATTAGAGACGTAAACGCGATCGGCTTTTTCTTTTTAGAGTATTGAGCTCACGTAAGTCAGATCTTACCTTGACCATTGCACATCTTCTGGTACAACTTTTACATATGCGATTATCTGGTGCATAACCTTGTGCGCTGCGCTGTGTAATAAAGTAGAAAAACAATCATGTTTCCATCTGAATGGAAAAGGAAAAGTGAGGATAATTTGAAAGTAATATTACCCCAAAATTGCCCCAGATAAAGAGAAAATAAAGAATGCCTCACTCTTAAGTTAACGTGGTACGCTCAAAAAATCCCTCCTCTTAACATTTCTCAATTTTCTTTCAATGGCTGTGTTGAATCCCCCACTATACAGGCGGTGCTGCGTAGCAGTTTTTGCCGCGGATGTGCTGAGCTTGCAACCACTATTTCTTACGCAAATGGCACAGGGAAGATGTAAACGCTTCTACACGTCGTCGGATACGGCCGTAAATACAGATAATACATACTGATGTAATTTCAATTGGCGATATGTTTTTGTCATTGTTTTTTTTGTTTTCGTTAGTGTTGCTTTCTAGTATTCTATCTAAAATAGTTAAAAAATTTAGGTGCTGCTGATTATTTTATAGTGTCGTTCTTGCTGGTTTTGTGGTGGAGTGGCGATCGCTCAATTTATGAGTCGATCCCAACTCTCCACTAGCGCCCGGACGACCGACTAACGGAGGGGGTTTTCCGATTCCGTGTGTGTTGCCTTCCTCACCTTGTGTACCTGTCGGTTGTGCGGGTTCACTCTTTCAGGTGGACTCGCGTCGAAGTAAAACTTGACCGTGTTGGAGATGGGGTTGTGATCGTGCGGAAATCTTCACGCGATCACGGGGTACTTATGGGTACTGATATAATTTACCCTGATCTCAACGGGATCGCCTTGTCCACTATGTGGTTGATTGATCTGCGAGCCTTCTGACCACTTGAGCCGTCTCGCGATCTTGTGCCTTGCCTTTACGTGTCTCGCTGCGTCTGATCGCAGTTGATGTTGCCTGAGAGTTCTTGAACACACCTGCCAAAACAATCCAGGTGTGACACTTGCGTAGACGTGTAGCGCGACTCTTTGTTCGATAAGGGCCAAAGATAAATCCAGGGGAGATAAAGTGTGCCTTGTGAAGTAATTTGAACACTGTTTTATGTCAACCAACCAATCTAAACCCCACCCCGATGCCTGTTCGTATATCCTAACCAGATGCCACGCGTCGCCTTTCCAGGAAGTTCGTCCCCTCACATATGTGTGGTCCACATCCAGTATATCAGCAGTCGCATCTTCTTTTGGCCCACCTTAGACATCCCCAAGATCCTGCTAGCGGATCGTGATCCTACTAGCGGATCGTGATCCTACTAGCAGGTCGTGATCTTACTAGCGGATCGTGATCCTACTAGTGGATCGTGTTTCGACTAGGGGATCGTGATTCTACTAGCGGATCGTGATACTTATAGCGGATCGCAGCTGAGATTGGACTAGCGATCCTGGGTTAGGATCGCGGTATTTTAGTGAGATCGAGGTTCTTGTCTTGCCGCATCTCACGACGGATTGCGTAATCAAAACGGGTGTGAAGACCTATAGCTTTGTCCTAGGCTGGACGATCTTGTCCACTTGGGGTTTGGTAACGCTATTGCCAGCTACCCGTCCCGGCCTGTACCCACCAATTATAGCATTCTTGGCTTAACTGAAGCTTGCGACCCGTGCGATCGCCGATCTAAGTCCCAAAAGAAATTTCCTAATGACCGCTTTGCCACAGTTTCGTAGTTGCTGCTACCGCTATGCCTGTATCCGCTGTTTTTAATTTTGCAAGCAATTATACGTTCCTGTCGCTTTTGACACCGCTGCTACTTCAGTTGGTATTGGTTCGGCTGATGTCGTCGTTTATGGTAATGCTGTTAGTGTTCGTGGTGTAACTACTGTTTTGTGGTGGTGTTGGTACTACAGTGCTGATGTTGTTGTTGTTATGTGAATTGACATGAATACATTATCGGCTCGTACGCAATATCTACTTGAGCTTTGTTAATCATTAAATAGACTATCACAAATCTATTCTACCTGTTTGACTCTTTTTTATCAATTCGAAAAGGCTTTACCAGGGCTGATGTCAGCATTTATGGTGCTGTAATGGGGATTAGCTGGTGCTGTCACTGTTTCCCAAACTCAAAGGACAATACGCTGCACGTGGAGAGCTCATCATGTAATCACAACACACGAACGAATTTTAAATTGGTCGAAGTGTTTACGCAATTCAACACGCACATCATAGTATAAAGAAATGTATCAGAACGCACAATACGGACTTCAACATGATTTAGTCGGGTTGTATCCGTTAGCAATTGGCATGCGAACCTGTAACGGTAATATTTGGTGCCGCACCACCTGCTGCGTTGTTCGGTGTGTTAGAAAACTAATTTTCGGATACAAATATAGCAAATTGGTAGTAATTGTGGCGCTTCTTAATTTTGAGGACCTTTGAACCTGCTAGAATCGATATGAGGTTTCTTTAAGGAACCTAGGTTGCTCCATTTTGCACGTTGCAAATATGCATTTGCTTAATGTAGCGTTGATACGCGAGCATAGCATACTATCACTCTGTCACAGTGCATATCCGCATGACCGTAATTAAGGGATCATCTTTGTTTTGTAAGTCATAGGTATCAGCATATAGCATGTGAGAGTATTGGTATTAGGTTAAGCCCTACATCAAAACACAATGTCGGTATAAAGGTACCTTACTAACTAGAGTATACGAGGACGTGGAGTACTATTAAAAAGAAATTTACCGGTACGCACCCACTCTTTGATGCGTACACACCCACCCAACTGTGTAATTAATTCTTTGTCTCAAAATGAAACGCAAATTCTTAACAACGTAAGTCACTAAATTAAACAGCGTTGCGATCTTGACCATGATGGACTCCACTGCATGGTATTTCTTTACTTCACTCACTCCAACAAACCTTACGATTGACGCCAAGAAAAAAGCGCTCAAGATCTAATACAAGGGTTGAGCTGCACCGCCAGCGCGTGCATCTTATGTCGTTATCGCTCGAGGCTTTGACGATGCTCATTGCCGATACATTGAATTTTGCGCCCAGCAGCTTTGTAATGCAGTACGCGGACGTGGAGGGAGACTGCTTGAACGCTAAGTTGCAGGCCGAGTACGAGGAGGCGTATCGCGTGCTGTTGCCAGATGCGGCCAGCGCCACGTCGGTGTGCTTTACAGCCTTGAGCCGCTCGGCATTACGTTCCGTGTGGAGACGCTGGATATAGCCATGAGCAAGGTCAAGCACGAGGAGTGGGCCGACTAGGTGCAGCAGAAAGCGCAGATGAAGATAGACCAGGCAAACAGAGCACTCAAGACGGTGGTCCAGGACGCCCGTAAAGCGGTACATGCAGCACGTATGAGCATTCTGGAGCTGCCGTTTGAACAGCTTTTGACAGAAAAGACATGAGGTCTGAAGTGTGCGGCCGAGGGAATTGGCGAGTTTTCTACAGAGGTTGTGGTCGAGATTAATAATATAGCATCGGTCCAGGCGGAAGTGGCGCCTATTCCAGAGAAAAGCAACTGCCTTCGACAGCCACTATTTTTGTCGAGGAGGCAACTGAAGCGCCAAGGACGGCTGTGAGCGACAGATAGTGGGAGTGGATGATGGAGCATAACTGGGCATCGGTCCAGGCGGAAGTGGCGCCTATTCCAGAGAAAAGCAACTGCATTTGACAGCCACTATTTTTGTCGAGGAGGCAACTGAAGTGCCAAGGACGGCTGTGAGCGACAGATAGTGGGAGTGGATGATGGAGCATAACTGGGCATCGGCTCCGGTGGAAGAGGCACTTGTGGTTGTCGAGCCTGTGATGGCTAGCCCAGTTTTATGGCTCCTCCGGTTTGTTGCTGCGCCAGTCGTTGTAGATCCAGTGTTTGCTACTCCGTCGGCCCCTGCTGGCGGTGCAAGCATAGTCAATTATTTCTATCAAAGTTTAGGGTGTCAAATTTCAATAAAGAGAGATAGGTCCTGATAACACAACGTGTGAGATTCTGCATGAAGAACGTGATCAACATTCGTCCATTTGGCAGATTGGTAGTTCAATTTACTGGTCACACCCTATTACTGATCAAATGTCGTAGTGCTGTTTGATTAGTAAGACATATTTTATGCATTTACGTTACAACTTGTGGCAACTGATAAATATTTGGAGTCCGAATGAGTATGTTTGCATCAAAGGGTGGGCGAGTACTTCTCAATTTCCTTCTTGATTTTTCAATTATCTGGGGCATTTTTATCGTCATGGTGAAAAAGAACATTTCTTTAAAAAAAACCGATGGCAATGTATTGAATTCAGGGCTGAAAAAAAACGATTAGTTTTGACTAGGCAATCCCGTATTTGAACCGATACGATAAAAGCCGATTAAAGCAAAAACACCATGGCTTTATTCGTTTTGATGGGTGGCCGCCTACTGGGAGACTCACTACCTACATCATCGTCACCGTCGTGCATGTAGCCGTAGAGGATCGACAAGTTTCTCCCAATGAACACCAGTTCGTTGAATCGATTGGGTAGATTCAATTCCTTAGATTCGAGCGAATGTCTCTGAAATCACGAGCTCGGTCCATGAATGCCAATGTTATGTGCTTTTATCTCATGATGATTTTTTTATTGTGGGGCTCGACGTCTACAGGAAACTTAGACAGGACGCCCTCCGGCTGTAAGCGGTTGCTCCTCGGCAGTCTCGATCACATAGACCACATAAGTTAATATGTACGTTTGCGCTTTCCTCCTTTTATGGTGATTAATCAGAGAATCTCTAGTGCCTGTATTCGGCACTCTTGGCATTTAGTAGAGACGCATCATCGGTACCCAATTCCATACTGCGCTAGCAGAACAACCTTGTTTTTCGTTTTGGCGCCTGAATCTCGATTTCAATGTCATCACCAACGACCATTCTAATGTCCAACATAACGACCTGCGGGTCTCGATGCTGAACATCGAGAACGTCGTCGTTGAAGTTATCGACGCGTTTGTTAAACTGGCTTGTAGAAAACGACGATTACGACATAGTAGTAGGTACGGCTATAGGGAGCTTAATTTGCTATCATACTGACGATAGATCATGTCTGTTGGATTCCTCGCAGTGGCAGGGATCGGTGGCCGGCGGGATCGTGCGTAGGTCACATGATTGTTGGGAAATAAAACCTGAAAAAACTTGATCTTGGAAGATTGCAGGCTGTTGGGTTTCAATATAAAAACACAAAAATCGGGATGTAAAATAGCGCTTGGTGTTAGCTCTGGTTGTAATGCATAGCGAATATGATATCCATAAAATGATTGTAATAACAATATCATTATTTAAGGCAATTACGGATGTCATCTAAGCTAATAACCTCCACACTCTCATTTTGATGACAATGTCAGGAGACGAGTTGAATCCGTCGTACATCAATTCATGGAACACTGTTAGCTGATGTTGAGCTTGCACTTGATGAGGTAGAAAGGAAAACTGATATTCAAACTGTGCCGTTGTGTCCTAGCTATTCTGCTTGCTATCTCGCACACTATGTTTCTGTATCTGCCGCTCTTACTAGGTCGACTTACTGTCGCTGCGCTACCATTCGCCACCACTCTGATGACGCGCTTCCCGTCTGTTGGTAACTGCGAGCTTCTTCACCCATCTTTGCAGCCCCTTCATCTGTCGACTGTCCTCTTATAAACATGCAAACAGTCGCCGACACCAACTTGATCTGACATGTCGTGTCGCACATCGTGACTCTTCATCCCGATCTTCACCAATGCTCCTTGTCGGCGGCTTACACTGCGCTTACACGATGTGAAGAAGTGATCGCAACTTGACCGTCTTGACTGCATCGAGTGCTTTGGTGAGTACTTCCGCTAGCATCAGGTCGCTCGGCACATATTGTGGCACCTCAATGCATCGACAAGCATATTTGCACAAGCACTTGACTCTCAGATCAATGTGCTTGGCCTCAGTAGACGACGCTTCTCCTTCAATCTGCCGTATCTCTGCCTGGTTGTCGATTAGCATTTTCATCGGTAGTGCAGCCGACTCATCAATCTCACTCAGCGTCTCTCTCAATCCAAGTAGCTCTCGTCCAGCTTCAGACACTGCCACAAATTATGACTCCATTGTCGAGAGCGCCACACCTCCTTTCTTTTTCAAGCACCAGCTGATTATCATTTCTTTTAGCATGATAACGCTACCGGTCAAAGACGTTCTGTCTGCCTTGTCGGCTGCGTTGTCTGCGTCACTGTAGCTCATTATAACAGGTTGTGCAGTTTCTTCGACTGCTGGATTCATGCTGATCTTCAATCCACGCGTGCCACTCAAATATCGCACGATGCGCTTAGCCAATTTCCAGTCATGGACCCGTGGCTCGTGTGCTTGTCTGGTTGCCTTGTGCACCGCAAATGCGATGTCGGGTCTTGTGCACATCGCTACCCATAGCAACGATCCGACAATTGAATGAGAAGCACGAACGCTAGGTTGACCTGGAGCACCCGTGTCTGCAAGTAGTCCGCAGTCTGCACATTGAACTTCATAAACATCTGTCCCGATAGGCGCACGACTTGAGTTGGTATCGGTCATGCCGTGGTCACGCAGCAAGTCGACGATCGCCTCCTCCTGGTAAAGAAAATATCCACGATCTTCGTTGCGCGTCACGCGCATCCCCAACAATTTCTACACTGGTCCAAGATCTTTAATCGAAAGACTTTCGAGGCTTGCAAGAAAAACGTCAAGTGCAACAGCGGATGTTCCAGTCACCAGCAAATCGTCGACGTAAACTCCGACGATGACGACTCCATCGATGTCGCGCTTGTAATACAAGCAGAGGTCGCTGATGCAGCGAGTAAATCCAGCTTCCAATAGCCGATTGTTAAGCAATTGGCTCCACAATCGCCCTGCTTGCTTTAAACCATAAAGACTTTTCTTCAGTTTAAGCACGACATCTTCAATTTTCATTGCACCCAGTTCTTAAATTCTCTTGTATAAATCGTCATGCCCTTGGGGACATGCATCAGACTCTCGAGATGTTGTTTCTTCTCTGCTTTAACGTAAGCATTGGGGACGTCTCCGTGCTTAACAGGGTCGCTTCATGTAGCAGCTAACGCCAAGATTACTTTCACTGTCGTCACGTCCATGACGGCAGCGAAAGCTGCGCGTATTCCACGCCAAAAACTTGTTCAATACCGCAGGCAACGAGGCGCGCTTTGTGCCTTTCCAAATCTCCATCGGCAGTCGTCTTGGTCTTAAAGACCCATTTACTGTGGAGAAAGTTGCTGTTGCTTGATCGGAGCGCCTAACGCCACACTTTGTTTCTTTTGAGCGCGTCCAGCTCCTCACGCATTGCCTTTTGCCACTCGTTTCTCTTCTTGCTCTTCATTGCTTCGCCATAGTTGCGAGGATCTTTTTCGAACACGTGATTGACGACATCTGCGCTGACAGATACTTCTTTGTTGGCTTGCAGCTGCTTTTTTTTGCCGCAACTCTTGTCACGTGTGGCTGGCGAGTCCACTGTTTCTTCTTCTTGGGCTTCTTGCTCGCAGTAACACTAATGCTCTGTCTCACAGGTGTCTCAGTGCCTTCGTCTGAATCTGCTCGGTCATCGTCATAAAGGGCTAGTTGCAGCTGCCTGTTCCGGGTTTAGACAACGTTTCAATATTCCTGACATGCTGCGTCGAGATGAACTTGTTTTCCTTCCTGATGATTACTCTGAAACCCTTGGTTTCGTCACTGCATCCAACGGTCGTGCCCACCTGAGAGCGGCGCGCGAACGTGTTCTTGCTTAGGTCACTATAGACGGTACAGTGGGAGCCAAAATCGACGATGTTGCGCAAATCCGGCAATTTATTCGTCAGAACTTTAAGCGGCGACGCTCGTTTAAAAATTTGAACATGTGGGGCTCCTGTTCAAATTATACGTGGAGTATTTAGTGGCATCACCCCAGAACGTAAAGGGCAACCCAGACGCGAAGATCATCGCTCGTGTCATGTTTAGAACGGTCCTGTGCATTCTCTCAGCTCTCCAATTCGACGCTTGATTTCGCGCTTCACTCACTTGTCTTGCAACGCCTGTCGATTTGCAGAACAGATCAACATTCTGGCATTTTCCACCGCCATCTGTCCTGAAAACCGCGATTTTGCACTCAAATTGTCGCTCAAAGAACACCAAGATGTGCTCGAACTTCTTTGCCGAAGCGTCCTTGGTTCGAGCTAAGAAAACTCGACAGTAGTTGGTCTTGTAATCGATGAAGTTGATCAGATATCGGTTTCCGAGTCGATCCGCAGGCGTTAGTGGACTTTTTAGGTCCGAGCAGATGACACCGCCGATGCGGTCGATCGGGGCGTTCTGTCCAGAGTCTTTCTGGTTCTGCTTGTTTTTTGTCTGCTTGGATTGTGCGCACGTGATGCATGTCATCCGTTTGTGGTCCGTCAGCTCGATACCCGAGCTTGGATTTCTCGCGACCTTTTCAATTGCATCATACGACAGATGCCCCAGACGTTGATGAAAGTGTAGCAGAGAATCACGATGTATCTCAGAAGTCATATCATCTGCTGCCTTCTCCTGAACGGCAGCCATTATAACATCCGCTGTCTCCTATTTGTTTAAACTCTTTTTCACTGTCTCGACGATCAGCACACTATTATCCATAGTCACGTCGAACGCGACTTGGTCATCACTCCGTCGAGCTACTGATCGCTTTCCATTATAATACTTAAGAATGTATCCCTTTTGATCAAGCTTACCATAGATAATGATGTTGCCGGCCAGATTCGGTGAATAGTAGACGTCCGTGAGTTTGACTGCTACCTCTTGTCCATTGGCAACCACGGAGAGTCTCACACCACCTACCTTGGACAGACTGACCTTCTAGTTATCAGCTAGCGAGACTACATCGTTGCAAATCTCTGCGTCGATCAGCAGGCGATCGTCGTTCACCAGGTGTCGACTGGCACCGCTGTCGAGAATCCAGTCGTCGTTCACATTGTCGCTGTCTTCATTAACAGCAAGAACCACCTCGCCGTCGTTCTTGGCGCTCTTGTTGACGTTCCTTTTTGAACTGCAGTTAATCTTCAAATGACCTTGTTTGCCACAATGGTAGCATGAACGTGTCTCCTTGCGACGTCTTTCATCAGTGACAGCGGCGACTAACTCGCGTCTTAACGTCCTTCCGGTCTTGTTCTCGAGCTCAACAGACTGTGCAGAATGCGCAAGTTCTTCAGCTTGGCGCAAATGATCGCGTCGGTCAGTGTTGTACTTGGCCATTTAAACTGTTGTAAGATCAGCCGACGCATAGTGGACAATGTTGTTGAGAACTTGTGCTTCTGCACCTCCACCGCAGGCATCGCATACAGCAACCACATACAGGTGGTGTTCAGGCCATGATCTCTTGAGATCCTTCTTTGCAGTGACAAGCTTCATGATTTGCGACGCCGTGATTGTAGTCATGAATGTGTGTAGCAAGCGGCCCATAGCGTGATCGAGAGAGGCTTATTCGAGCCATTAAACGTCCACTTGTTTTTGGTAGTACCGCTCTGTTGTCCCACTTAGGTAGTGTTCCAGCAAGTCGACCTTGACATCTTCAGCCCATGCAAATCCGCAGGCCTGCTGCGCCATAGTGACTTAGCGCAAGAACGTGCGACCCCAGTCAGCAAAACCCGATCCGAGACCCTGGCACAGTTCTCCACCATCAAACTTGCGAATAGCAAGCTTACGTTGGCGTGCATCCAGGACACGCAACGGCAACTCCTGCGTCGGTACCTGCTGCATTTGTGTTACAGGCGCATTAACGTCTTCAAAATATGGAGGCGACACTGGCGCATAGCGCGGCGCTGTGGTCGAGCAGCGCCCGATGGCTGTCGCGGACCGACATACTGTGGACCGAACTGCTGGAATAGCGAGTCACCTGGTTGCGTCACGCGAACACGTCCACGCGGCTGCCTCGGAGCATTTAATTAAAGTGTCACGATGTAGAGTCGTACCGCCCATGCCGCGTCCCAGCGCTGACGCAAAAAAGGCACTGTCGATCGCGCCTCGCAGTCGCTCGTCCTCGTCGATCTGCATCTGCGACGCCTTGAGCGCTTGCATGCGATCCTTGAGTGCAGCCAGCATTGTGAGGATCCTTTCGTCGGTCACCGCACCCCTTTCGTGGGCTTGGGTATCGCCAACAACGGCGACCCTTTCGTGGCCATGGTCTGCAGGTGCAGAAGTCGTCATTTCATCAGTCGGAGGAGCCATTGGGTTTGGGCTCATAACCTGTTAGCTGATGTCGAGCTTGCACTTGATGAGGTAGAAAGGAAAACTGATATTCAAACTGTGCCGTTGTGTCCTAGCTATTCTGCTTGCTATCTCGCACACTATGTCTCTGTATCTGCCGCTCTTACTAGGTCGACTTACTGTCGCTGCGCTACCATTCGCCACCACTCCGATGACGCGCTTCCCGCTGTTGGTAACTGCAAGCTTCTTCACCCATCTTTGCAGCCCCTTCATCTGTCGACTGTCCTCTTATAAACATGCAAACAGTCGCCGACACCAACCAGATCTGACATGTCGTGCCGCACATCGTGACTCTTCATCCCGATCTTCAACAAACACACCATCGTGTACGGGCGTACAAAGCTACCTATAGCATCTACTATACGAGGGCAACATTGTTTCAGCCACCGGCACCGCTGACAGATCGAAAGATCGTGTAGGCGCTCCACTATGAGCTAACCTATTCCCATCGAAGCACTCGGATATGTGCGATAGTTCACAACCTCATAACTGCAGGCCACCACTTCTCAAAACTAATGACAATAATATCACCAGATAAGACCCCTCCCCCCTCCGAACGAGGTCATTTCTAATATGAATCATAACGCGATCATACACCGCGATCCAACGAGCTACGCGAACGAAAATATCACAACGCGCGTCACATCACCACTGATCCCCAACAAATTCAGTGATCCTGTCATCCCCGATGCGCACTTAAGCTTCCGCGACGCAACGAAGATCTCTCCCTCTTTGACCCCGTCATATCCCACAAGCCCCACCCGCCACCAGTAGAACAACCTCTTGCCATCCGCTCGCGCCTCGTGTCGCCCCTCCCGCCATGGGCATCCCCCGCTTCTACCGCTACATGTCCGAGCGGTACCCGCTTCTGAACGAGCCCATCTCGGACGTGTCGCTCCTCCCCGAATTCGACGCCTTTTATCTCGACATGAACGGCATTATCCACAGCTGTACCCACTCCGATACAGCGACCGACGCGAGGTTGTCGCAGCAGTCGCTCGAAGCCCAGCTGCACGGCATCTTCACGTACCTGGACCGCCTCGTCACGCACATCATCAAGCCCAAGCAGCTCGTGTACATTGCGATCGACGGCGTCGCCCCGCGCGCGAAGCTCAACCAGCAGCGCTCGCGTCGCTTCCGCGCGGGTCTTGAGCGTCAAGAAGCGATCGAAAAGGAAAAGCACGTCAAGATCCAAGCTGACGACGAGACGGAGCGGCCCCGTGGCTCGACGCTGTTTGATTCCAATTGTATCACGCCCGGGACGGCGTTTCTAAGCACCTTGTCGCAGCATTTGGTCTACTTTGTCCGTCGCAAGATGAAGGACGACCCGTTGTGGGCGCGGCTCGAGGTTTTCTTCAGTGGCAGTGAAGTCCCGGGCGAAGGCGAGCACAAGATTGTCGAGTTTATCCGGCACCAGAAGATGACGACGGACTATGACGCCAATGTGCGGCACTGTATGTACGGCAGTGACGCGGATTTGATGCTGCTGGGTCTGATGACGCACGAACCGCACTTTACGCTCGTGAGGGAGACAGTCGTGTGGGGACAGCAGCACAAACAAGTGGCGGCGAAGCAGATTGAAGAACAGCAGTGGCAGTTGGTGCACTTGAGTTTATTTCGAGAGTACTTGATGCTCGAGATGCGCGTGGAAGCGCCACTGGATGGAGAGCGTATGCTGGACGATTTCATCCTCTTGACGTTCTTGCTTGGAAATGACTTTATCCCGCATAGTCCTACGCTCGAGATCAGTGAAGAGGCGATTCCATTGCTGCTGAAAGTGTATCGGAAGCTATTGGAGACCCATGAAGGAAGCTACTTGACGTTGAATGGAAAACTGATTAATGTGAAACTACTGCAGGAGCTTTTCCAGGTAATCGGCGATGAGGAGGAGGACATTCTTATCAATCGCGCAGTGGCAGAGAAGCAGCGATCGGGACGGCGAGGCGGGAAACGACAATCCATTCAACACGATGTTGATGCTGAGGAAGTCCAGAAAGCCGTAATCGCTCTCCGTGACGACGACGGTGTGGATTGCCCACCAGTGTTGGTGGATGACGAAGAGAGAGATGAAGAGGAAGCCGAGCGTGCATTGCTAGAGGCTCTAGATGGTCGCGAAAGCACCAAAGCGTTATTTGAACTTGAGAAAAGCGATTGCGAAGTGCTAATGCTTGTTGGCAGTGAGAGTTTCCAGGAAACGAAGTGGAATTATTACGAGAACAAATACGGCATCAAGCGAGGCAACGGCGACGCCGCCAACAGAGATTTGGAACATGTGAAGAAAGCTTATATGGAGGCATTGGTATGGTGTCTTGCCTACTACTATCAAGGTCCACCGTCATGGGCGTGGTACTACCCTTACCATTATGCTCCGATGATTTCTGATTTAACGGATATTGAGGATCTGATTGCAAATGTAAAGTTTGACGAAGACCCGTCAATCGCAGGCCCATTGCTACCGTTCGAGCAGTTGATGTCGAATTTGCCGTCTTCTAGCGCCGATCTCGTGCCGAAGCCGTACCGCTTTCTCATGCTCTCGCCATTGTCACCGATCAAACATTTCTATCCCGAGACTTTTGCAATCGATACAGAAGGCAAACGCAACGCTTGGGAGGGTGTCAACTTGCTGCCGTTCATCGACGTGGCGTTGCTTAAACAAGCAATTGCCCAATACTGCCCAGACTCGGAGCTTACAGAGGCCGAACGTCGGCGCAACAAGCTCCAGCGTGTACCGATTCGAATTGTGCGAGATGTCGATGCGCTGAACACTCTCAAGTCCAGTCTGCCTGGTGTTGCTGGATACCCTGATGTGCAGTACTGCAACACACGAGTGGAAGAGTACTATCTTCCAGGTATTCCCGGTGGCGAGTTTCAAAGTAAGTTGATGGACGGTGTTGTGCTTCCACTTCCGGGCTTCCCGTCGCTCTACACGGTCCAAATTGAAAGTACACGTACAGCCAGCGTTGGATTGAACTGTTTCGGTATGCGCTCTCGCAAGCCCAGTTTGATTCTTCAGCTTCCGGCATCGGGAAAGCTCAACGACGGCGAAAGCGCTACTGCAGATGAAATCAATCCGCGTGAGCTTTTGGGAACTACTGTCCTGGCAAATTGGCCAAACCTTCACGAGGGACTTGTTGTGGGAATTAGTACGCAATCAGGGGAATATCGGCAGAAGCAGTTCAGCCGCAAGCGCAATAATCATGGCCTCAAACCAAGCGAGATCGAGTTCACGCAATACGGCTCGGATGAAAAGAGTGCGTGGAATTACTATGCACAGACAGAGGTGGTCAAGCTGCTCTCCGGTCGTGGCACTCCTGGCAGCGGCGGAATCGACTTGGGCAGAGCTGGAATCACCGTGGTACTGCATGTGTTGCCTCTTCAAGGTATGGTGTCGAACCCGCTTACTGGCGGAATTGAGAAGAAGTTCGGAGAGACAGAGGCGTTTGTGCCCGCCCAGCTTACTGTTCGCAATCGTAAACTACTCGATGCACGGTTTGAAGAAACGGCTATGATGCCGCTGGATGAACGCTTTCCAGTTGGTTCGAAAGCGCTTATAACACAAGGTAAGTGGCTTGGCTGTACGGTAGTTGTGCGCGCACAAAATGAAGAACAACACGCTGTTACTGTACACGTGAATACGATTGATCAGGAGCCTCCGTTTGGCTACGTAGTCGTGCAAGCAATCACAGATCGTTTTTTTCCGGGTTACATGGTAGCCCAGAAGCTAGGTATCTCAGCGTCAACTGTGGGCTTACTTACCGGAAGCGTGATAATTAAGCCCGTTGGTGCGGATATTGGGCTGAACATTCGCTATCGTAAGGAGCTGCTTCTTCCCGGATATTGCAGACGTGCGAATCATGACAAGAACGCCTCCAATTATGGCGATGAAGTCAATGTATGGAGAAAGGGCGACATTGTTAAAATTGTAGGTAGCAGTGGCAGCGATGAAGGGAGTGATGCAAACATGGGATACGGGCAGCCTAAAAATGGCAGCGCCGCTATATGGGAGTACACGGAGCGTGCAGTGCAGCTGATTGCATCCTACCAGGACAAATTTCCTGAAGTAGTTCGTAACTTGGGCCGTCTACCTTTTGCAACAACGTACCGAGCTAAAGATGTGTTTGGAATTGACGACAGCGAGCGTGTGGAGATTGAGATAGGAGCAGTGAAACAGTGGATTGAGCAACAACGTTTGGGTGCGAGCGAGCATTCGAAACACATTCCGATCACTTCGGAGTACATTACGGCGAAAGGTGTTCGTGCCTTGGAAGCCGCAGGATCATTGCGCGCAACGGAGCGCGCGAAGACTGAAACGAAACAGAGAGGTGCACCTGTTGCCATGACTATCAAAGCCGCGGACCTGTTTCGTCCGAACCCGTTAGTAAACCAGGACTTGACGGGACACGAGGTTTCGCAGCAGTCATCAGTAAACCGAGGTGCGCCGATTTTGGGAGACCGCGTGATCAATATCAGTGCGCGTGGAGTGCCGTTTGGCCATCGAGGCACAGTTGTAGCTACTCACGTGAGTAGTAAGTGCGTTGAGGTACTTTTCGATGAAAGCTTTACAGGCGGTGAGGCACTTTACGGAACAACTAGTGTCGACCGTGGCAAGATCGTGGCGTGGAACAGTTTGCTTTGTGTATCTGCTCCGCCAGGCAGCATGAAACAAGCCCGCAATAACCGTCCGAAGCGTGGGCCGAACGGAAATGGCCAGCTAGTGAATGTCCGTAATGAGCGACATGCCTCCAGCGGAGATTATGCGGTTAGCACGAACATGCGCGCTCCTAGACAAACCGTGAAGGCACCCGACAAGACCCCTGCTACGATTTGCACACCGTTGGTAGCGCCACCTGTTCCCAGCGCAATGCCAGCGCCTCCAGACCCGGAGAAGATTCAACAGCTGATCAAAAAGTGGAGCCACTGCGGCGAAGATGCTGTTTCGCGTGGTGAAAAAGCACGAAATATCTCTAAGACACCGATCGTTCCATCTGCACCGCTACCAATGGCAGTAGTGACGCCATCGTCCGTGCCAGCAGAGCAAAATCTGTCTCCATCCGTCGCAGCTTTTTTTACAGCTGCCGCAGCTACGGTGTCGGCACCTTCTCTGCATGCACCTGCTGCTCCATTGATGGGGTTGCCTGCTCACATGCGCAAGCAAAGACGATCCGGCGTACCTCCACTGCTATCGCACCCCTTGCCGAGTGCAGGCCCGGCACAACATATGGCGCCACCGCATCCAGTGTACTATGCGACGCAGCCACCTGGGCCTGGACAGAGGCCGCAGCTCTTTCTTATGCCTGACGGGACGTTTGCCCCTATGTACGTGCCACAACCTGGAGTGTTCATGCCGCCCCAGCCGCAATTTCCAGTCCCACCCATTGAAGGAAAGCGTCCTGTTGGAGCCGCTCGATCTTTTCAGGCCCACACGAAACCAAGTACTACGACGAATACTACAGCTAATGGATCGAAATCCAAACAGAGCGTGCATGGGAAGAGCAAGAAGGGAACGGTTTCCAAAAGTGAGAGTACTCCCGTTGCAGGGCAGGTAGGTGCACAAGGATCTCAGACGAAGTGGGTTCCGAAGCAGGGCAGTAAAGCCAAGCCGAAGGGTGGACCACAACTTTTGCTTCCGTCCCAGGTCATGCGCCAGCAGAAGCTTTAGCAGGTGACCGGATGATTGATGCTTGACGAGTTTCTAGACAGGTTCTGAAAACCGTGCTGAATATGTTAAAGTGTACAGCTGCGGTCGTTGCCTCTCTTTGAAGTATCTCGTCTTGCAACGTTCGATGATCGACGGGTGCCAGCGACTCTGACGTCCTTTATGAACTAAAAGTGAATGTCACTTGCGCCCATTCGACAACTTCGTTTGTAAGCAATTATTGTACAGGTCAACACAAGATAACTAGCAAGTTGCACCAGTATGGCACGTAAGTTAATGATGTGTGTAGTGTATTCCCGTCGATCATTCAATAAGAATTGCAGCCAGCCCCATCTAATCCAGTTACATTGATAAAAACGACACTTGCAGCTAGCATTCGCTTGCTTCATGAGTGAATTTGTCGATTCGATGCAAATACACTTGTGAATTTACATTGCCATTTTGTATTTCGAGTGCAATAGCCTACTTTTGATCAGCATTAACCTCCAAACCTCGGGCAAATCAAAGTCTTCGATCGATTCGAAGTAAACGTTGCTCGACACTTTACCACTTTGACCCAAAAGCTTGCTAAGCAAGCAAACAAATTATTGGATACGATACTACCCATGTATTGCAACAAGGTGCGATTCAAACACCTGGACAATAAGACGAGGCCTATCACGATCTGGCCCAGCATAGAATGTTCAAGACACGTTGGTTTACAATGCATTTGGATGATGGCGCACGTCCTGTAACCTGCGGCCAAAAGAGTAGGCAAAGCAAACTATCAGCTTTAGCGTTTGGTGTCCTAAAGCAGGCAGGTGCCGTCAAGACCTGTTGTTTGCTGCTTGAGACTTGGATGGTAAATTGAGAACTAAATGTATTGCAGCCTTTGATCCTAGTTATCTCTGTGTCCGTTACTTTCAGTTTCTTCTGCGTAGGTTTCGTGTCATTACTCGTCCGTTACGATAGTCGACCTTATCACTAGTCCCCTTTCATCATGGGTCGTCTTAATCACGATCTTCTACTTCAACAAGACCGGTAGCAGCAAAACTGCCAATCAGGAATACATAATACTGATAAAGGGGGATAAAATGAAAATAGTTACGTCACCTTGCGACTGGACGCATGCGATAATGCTTCATAGCTATGTGAGAGAAAGACAGAACTTATTGGGCTGTGGATGCCAGCTTGGTTTCCTACAAAGCGATGTTTAAGAATAGTAGTGTAGCACACATGTGGCCTCTTCTTTGAATCGGTGAGCGAACATGAAAGACGACTGACAATGCCGCCAAGATAAATGCTACAACGTGTGCATTTTTTTGGCTAAGCTCTGGCTTAACATGTCGAGGATTCCGTTCTTCTTCCTTCCGCTTTGCTCATCTTTCGCAAGTAGTCGAACTGTCATCAGCACGTAGACATCGGGCACTGGTATACGTGGTGATCGACTAGGTGCATAATACGAACGACTTCAGGCTTAATCGACGGCTTGGCGAAGCATTTTCAGTCTTCTGTTTGTCAGATACTCCGCACAATTGCGCCAATGATGCCATAATGTGGCTATAAACTTTTACTTTGGACGGACAAAGACGAGCATTTTGTCGAATATATTCTATCAGGAGTCGCTCGTAAAAATGCGCCATCACTCCGGTAAAAGACAAGGATGAATATCATGGGTCACGCAGGGTGAGCGATCACGAATAATGTCACCGAATTGTTGGGTACAAGCTAAAGACAGCTAGTTGGTATTACGCAATGAGACACCGCACGTGCACGGATGTGAGAAAGTGAGATCTCGCAAACATTTGTTCGCTGCAATTCTAGTCCCTTCCACTCACTGCAACTGGACAAGGTTGCAGTGAGCAACTTGAACGGTGTCGATATCACATGCGTCTCGCATTATACAGTACAACTCGTACTTCTGCTTCTTGACTGCTCCATCAGCATGTTCTCGATCATCTGCACTGTACTTGCAGACGACGATCCGCCCAGCACAAAATTCGTGAGCTCCTGTACAAACTGACCGGCGGGCCCTTTTGTGCTACTTCGCATCTCCGGAGTTATGACATGCCAGATGCGTAGTCGTGTGAACTCGGTACCAGAAGGCTGTAGTTCCGACAGCCTTCGAATATCTATCGATCCCTTTTCCTGGAAGCGGACGCCCTCAATTTGCTGGTCCCTGAACTTTGCCGGATCAATGTACGACCTCCACGCAATCACATTTCGATCTGACTCCACATATCGCCGGAAAACTTGCTTGATCCTAAAATCTGCCATAATTTCTGCCACGGCAATTTCCACGCCAAAGCTCTCCCCGACAGTCGTATCATGTGTTAGTTCGCTCCAATCGTTTCCACTGCTAAGTGAAAACGTAGACTTTTCATCATGAACCGATTGGGCTAAACACCTCCACGCGGCTTCTGCCGTCGTGCATAGATCAAATGGCAGCGTCTTCTCTCCAAAGACGCCTGGAGGCGTCAAGTCGCCCGCATCCACTTGGAAAAACACTTTTGCCGCTTCGTGGTACACCGAATCCACACCGACTCTCAAGGTTTCAAACAACTCCTGATCCACCGTTTCTAGGGCCACGCTGTGCACGCGCCTGGATCTTTTTTCTTGCACAAAACTTGTCTCAATCACCTGCAGTACAAATTATAATGGTCAAAAATGTCAGAAAAAAGTTAGCACCCCTTGACTTGCACTGTCACGACCGCTGATTTTTAATCCATACGCGTCGTGCCACTCTTGTGTTCAGCGCTCGTTGCAGCATTTGCCGCACGGTTTCCTGGTCAGCCAATGCATTCTTAAGGCGACTGTTTTCCCGCTCTGAAGTTAAGCGTTGGTCCAATTGGCGTGTCGCCAGGTCTTTCCATACATCCATCAATACAGACGACACCTCGCCCTGGTTTCGATCTGTACTGATTTGTGTCATCTCCGTCCGTTCTTTTGCCGCTTGTGTCAGTGCATTGAACTGCGTGTCCAGCTCCTGGACTCGCGTACGAAGATATTGCACCTCTTGACGACGCAATTCACGTGCTCCATTTCGGTGTTTACTAGAATTGGGAGTCACGGGGCGTGCAGCTTCAAAGGGAGATCCGTCCGAAGATTCGCTCGGACATGGCAAAAGGACGGGGCCTTGAGGTGGCGAGAGTGAGGAGATGATTGGCGCTTCAGACGCTTCAATTGACTCGTCCAGCAGCGCTAGAACCGCTGAGATAACCTCGTCGTCGTCTTCGAGCAGGGCAAACGACATGAGATGTATCGACGAATGGAGTTGACTACTGCGTCTGACTGCGAAAAAGCTGCACTGAGAACGCTATTGTTTCTACGTGGACGGCGTGCCCATGTTGAAGTACTGCTCATCATGGGATTCCCTGATACAGAGGCACTTGAAGCTGGATAAAGAGGGAAGGAATCCAGCACTTCGCCTGCTGCCAAAGAACAGGCAGAGTTGACGGCCAAACAAACACCGGTGAAAGGCAGAATCTCTCCATTGTGTTACTCTCGTTCGTAACGACTTCTCTAGTTGTGAGGGTAAACGCAGTGGCGCTCTAATGTTTCGACCTGACCTGCACTTCGGTCGTCGACGCGCCACTCGCCCCTGATTTTTGTATCTTACTATAGTCAGGCATAGCGACCAAAGACTTCGTTGTTCTCAGCAAGTTTCGAGCGCAAAGAGGCTGCAGGTCTTGTTGACTCTCGAGTATTCGTGTCACGACCAAAGCCGTGCAACTGCATCTGAAAACGCGCTTGCATCAAGCCGCTCCGAGTCCGTTCCCGGTCGTCGTGAGTCGGGGATGGAAAGCGCCACCGCTTCGGATCAGCTTCAATCTCTTCGCGTGCCACGTCGCGAGCACTGGTGGCCACCATGCATTGGTGCACACAGACGTTGCACAGGGTAACCTCTCGCTCCACCACATGCGTTGTGAGTCGATCGGAGCTGCCTTGCTGGTCTGTCACGCAGCTCGTGACGGTCTTTTTGAGACGACAGGAGGAACACACGTAGCGCCAACATAATTGACACGTACTTGTCGAGTTCTTTCTCATCTTCTTCTTCTTACCCCGCACGCTGAACCACGGCCCTCGCTTTTTGCACGTCACACACAACTTGTTGTCAGGTGCCGCTGTCGCTGCGGCAGCAGCAGCGGAGACCGTGACAGTGAGTGAGCCATGTCGAACTTTGCATGGCGGCAGCGAGCGTGAAAGTGCGGATAGATGCGATTGCTGATGGACGAACCCCAGGAGTGACTGACTCGGGGGCTGTCGCTGGGCTAGAATCCACGCGAGTTTCTTCATACGTCCACAGAGCACAAACATGCCCGTGGCTGCCATGGCAGCGGTAGTCGATCGAACCGCGGCATTGCCACCGCTCAGACAAGCTCGAGCAAAGACTTCGATTGATCCACGAGGGGGTCCTTCGTGAGCATCAGTTATGGTTGCACCTCCATCGCGGAAGAGCGTACATGTGGACAAGTTCCCACGTCGCACGTTCGGGCGAAGGTGAGTCTGAGGGAAGTGCACCGAGTGGCGCAATTGGTACCCAACTCGTTCCCCGGATGCCAATGTGGTTGTTCCTGTAGCCTCCAGAAAGACCAGATCTTCTCGAGTGCCTGCGCCTGGAAGAGTCATGGGGTAGTGCAATGGATGATACCGGTGATGGTCAATCGTCGGACCAGCGTGTTCCATCCACTTGATCGATAAGGACCGGAACGGGTCAGTGGTTGTGGGGGTCAAGATCGTAGCCAGCACGGCACCATCCGTAAAGTGGTCGTGCTCGTATGTACTCTGCACCCGCATCGCTTCAACGGATGCACCAAGAGCGCCGTACATGGCATCGTCTAGTGAACCTGGGACGGAACCCACAAGCTGCAAGATTGGCAACTCAACGCCTAGTAGTGTGGACGGTCCAGTTCCAATGCTGGACTCGTTACTAAACGTCGTGGATCGACAATCGGAGCTGTTAGTGTTGCTGTAGTTGCTGGAAAAGCTGCCTGTTCCACGGCTAAAGAAGCTCGAGCTGCTGCTGCAACTGCTTTCGCGACTGCCAAAGCTGGTCGTGTTATACATGTCGGTCCCCGATAGTTTCGCGGTTTTCGAGCTCCGGTGTCGAAAGCTCCGAAGACGTGATTGTCGACGCGTACGGCGCTCAACGTCTTTGCGTCGACGTTGGAGGAACACTCGGAGCTCACGTTCTTGCTTGATGCACTTCCAGTACTTACCATCTATCTCTCGATGGTCCTGGGCAATGAACTTTTCATACTGCAACACAGTGTTCTGTACGAAAATCCGTGCCACGGCCTCAAGTTGCGTCTCATCTTCTCCTGCAAGTTGCAATGGTGCAAACGGACTCTTGAACGCAGGAGGAGGCGTGGCGGCACGGTGGTGGATGAAGTGCATGGACGAACCTTCCTGTTGAGTTTGTCGTGCGTTGCAAAGTGTGTATGAATAGATCAATTTTACAATGAGAGGAGGGGTACGTCGTGCTATGCCCGACTCGCTGTTGGGTGCCCCCCCCTGTTGTTCATATAAAAGCTGAAACGCTGATGCAACGAGCGAGCGAGTGTGCTCAAGATAGAAGAAGGCTGGACGATTGATTTGCAACGGCCCTTACCGCCAATATCGGAGCCCATGGAGGCTGTCGCATGGGCACGCCCAGCGTGACGTTTTTTTTAATTTACATTGTGTTCGTTATCGGTATTCAGCAATGGTGAGCCCGTGCGTGACGCGATGGCATTGGTATGCGGCTTGTATGGCATTCAGAAGGCTCAACGCGCTGCGAAAGGCGATAGATAGCGAGAAGCCAGACAATGGCTGGAATGCTGACTTGCACTGAAACCAGTGCAGGGCCAGATGACAGCAAGGTGTCCTCACGCTGGTAACGACGACTATTATCAGAGATCGACGATTGTACTGGTCGAACTCTGATTTGAGAACTACCTGGAAGAAAGCAGGTCCGTGCGTCGACACGGACTGAGCAGTTTTGAAACGACAGTGCTGAGAAGGGGTCACACGTCATGACCGCCGTTTCTCGAACAGGGCTACAGTCTGATACGCAGCACGCGGAAGAAGAACAAAACGGCTCAAAGAGGTCCGACCTTCTCTCTCGTCACTTGTGTTCTCTGGTCGTGCTTTCTTGCTTCATTGATGGCGTTTCATGCCGTGATAGTAGCGGCTTCGTTCTCCAAGAGTCCCGCAGAATACCTCATACCTTCAGATTGTACTACTTCGAGACTCGACAAGGTGTCGCGGTTGCCGTCCCCGCCACTTCTGCGGTAGATAGGTTTCTTCGAATCGCTCTTGATGACGATTGAAGCTGGTAGATCCACGACACAGCAGCAATTGAGGAGGAGGTTCCTGCGAGTGACTTGATTAGATGTGCATCGATGTCAACTCCGTGTAAGTTCATGTGGACGTTGGTGGTGGCTTTGTAGAGGATCGCCGCTGCAATTACGAGTGACATTCGAATCGATGACGTATTGCCAGCACAAGGACATGCGTTGTCGCTACAACCGTAGCTATGTACACCACCTTCATCATCACTTCACCATGTTAACGAGTTGAAGTGGAGTGAGTCAGGAGCAATGAGCACCTGAGCAATGCATGCTTTGAAGTTGACAATCACACCAAGATGACTCTCTTTTTTGCAAGACGTTGTGTTAACGAGCTTATTTGGCATCCGGAATGCCGGGACTCTGCTGCTGGGATCTCCGTAGACTTACCACTGCTGCTTGTTAGATTCGTCACCAATAGTAGCACAAATCCGTGCTTACTATGCCTGTTTCTCGCAACATACCGCTACAGCCAAATGCGTTTTCACACCTTTCAGGGACATCGACCGTGACGTACGCATATCGACAATGCAACATCGTACAGACTCGTTGTCTGCTAGTCTTGAATCGCGGTATCGATGCTAAGTTCTGCGGCAAAGTCCTTAGAATTCTACAGACAGAGTCAAGAGTTCAGGCTCAAGTGTTCAGCTCAATTGTGCACTGGCATACCATCTTTCTGGACCCAATAGCCAGTTGCAAGCGCCACGAATGACTCCAAATGAGAGATGACGAGCTCTTCGAGATTGAGAGACTGATGCTGTACGCAACGGCGTCTACGAGAGCAAATTAGCTGAGCTCACGCAACACGCTGTGGACAAGCAATGCGCTATCCCCGACAGCCCACCAATGCTTACGAAGCGATCGCTATATGAAACTGACCTGCACCTCTTTTTAATCCTTGACAAGATACAAAATACACGAGCACTCAACAAAGCTAATGACGCAGTTTGCTATTCTCAGTCTCAGTTCTCCGCATCATAGCGCATTGCTCTATACATCTAGTTCCATTCTGTTCGCGAAATAACTGCCTTCTTGCGCGAATCTCAAGTGACGTGTCCTTGACCTTGTTTTGCAATCGGTATAATATACCACCTCATTTTATAAAAACCCGTCGTCGGATTGGTCCATCGGTCCTCATATTCTATACTAGATAAAAGTACACGTGGCACGACGCTAAACCGCCATTGCTGTACTTGGCCCACGCTAGTCAGACGTAACGTACAGTTTCTAATCAGTCACGTAGACGACATCGGGCAGGACTAAGAAGCTGCCTGAAGAACTATGCGCGTATTGGGCGCCATCGCCAGCGTCCTAAGTGCGTTCTACGCTGTTAGAGTACGTACGCTCGCTTGAGGTCTCGTCCCTCTATCGCGATCTCGCTGATCATCGATTGCTTTTTCCGTTCATTTCTGTCGATAATCATCGCATTTCTAAATGCAGCACGTCGTCGCCAGTATCCCTGATTCCGTTTCTAACGTCCGCGTCGCTGCTGACAACGCATTTGCTGATGGCGACATGAAAACGGTGCGTTTTTCTAACGTAGTAGAAAAAAGCGCTTTTTAGTCGAAAAAAGTGCAACTGATTGTCTGGAAAAAGATGATTCGGAGCTCAGTGCTCAGCTTATTACACCTCTTTTGTATACTTGCGTTTATTACTGTTGCCTCATTTTATCGTTACGTGTGGATGCTACATGATCAGGCTATTTCGCTGCTGTCCAAGCTCATTGAGATGGAACCGACAAACGAGCGGCACCTGTACAAGCGCTTTCGAGCGTACTTAAGTGAACGAAAGTACTCGCACGCTCTTTCGGACTTGTCGTCGTCGCTAGTTGTGAACCCCAAGTTCAAGCAGGGAATGCTGCAACGCGGCAAGCTCTTGATGATGCTGGGACAATGTGCTGAAGCGTCTCAGGATTTCCAGACATATGTCGAGTATGGTGCCGATTGATACTTTTTTAAGTGTGAAATACGTGATTTTGGCTTTTGTGTAGTAATGATCGTGGTTCTCGATGTTTAGGTTGTACCCGAAGGAGACAGGAGGCCAAGAGCAGCTGGACAAAAGCCAAAACTGTGCAGCTTCCATCGACGAGGCTGAGCGCGCTCAAAGTCGCGGTGATTACCAGTCAGCGTACACGCACTTGACTGAGGTACTAGAAGGGTCGGCTATCTCTAGTGTTCCGCTGCTCCTGGAGCGAGCGCAATTGAGTGTGTCAATGGAGAACCCGTACGATGCGATTGCAGACCTTGGCACCATCTTGAAACTCGATCCCTCGAATCTCGTTGCGCTGCAAATGCGTGGCGAGGTCTTGTACTCGCTTGGTGACAAGCAGTCACTCGAGGCAGCTCAGTCGCACTATCGCCAGGGGTTGCACTCGGACCCTGAGCACAAGGGCATCAAGGCTTTGTACCGGAGTCTGAAGAAGTTGCTCAAGTTCGTGAAGCGAGCTGAGGACTCTATGCAACGTGGTGCGCACGTTGAAGCAGTGGAGTATTGGCAGTCTGCACTTGAGGTGCATCCAGAGCACTTTGTGATGAACAAGGAGTTTTATCTGCAGTTGTGTGCGAGCGAGATGCATTTGAAACACTTTGCCGAGGCACGTGACGCGTGTGAAAAGGTTGTGGACATCGATAGTGACTACGCTCAGGCCTTTGCCCAATTGAGTGAAGCACAAATTGGTCTCGAGCTCTACGAAGACGCGGTTCGATCTGCTAAGCGAGCGCTAGAGCTAGATGACTCGAGTCGCGAGTTTAAAGAAAAGGTCGTGCAGGCGGAGGCAGCGCTCAAGCAGAGCAAGACCAAAAATTACTACAAGATTCTGGGCGTGTCCCGCAAAAGCGACGCGAAAGCAATCAAGAAGGCGTATCGCAAGCAAGCGCTTGAATGGCACCCGGACAAACACATTGATAAGGATGAGACTGAGCGTGAGGCGATCGAGAAGCGCTTTCGTGACATTGCACAAGCATACGAGATTTTGTCGAATGAGGAAACGCGTGGTATGTACGACCGCGGTGAAGATGTCACGGGCAATGCTCAACCGCAGCAGCAACAGCAGCAGCCGTTCGGTAACGCACAGTTTTTCCAGCAGGGTGGCCGCACGTTCCACTTTAACTTCGGAGGTTAGATGAGCGGACGGGTTTTTGAATGAGGATGTGTGCTGGATGTACAAAGGGGGTGGGGGTGGCGTGAGAGGAGGAAAGAGAAGACCGGAGGGAAGGCAACAGGGGATAAAGTGCGTGCAGGGACGAGATCATGTCCTAGAGAGAAGAACGAGCGTGAGGTTTCGACTTGGTTGATACATTACGCGATCGAAAACGTCTCTCTTGCTTGCAGTCATTTATCATTTCTCTCATGTGTCACAAATTACTGACACCTCCACAATTATCAGTATCGGAGGTGTTTTACCTGTAATTGTTCTAGTGGAAAAGCCTGCCATGTTTCGCTCTGCTCAGTGCAACTCGCTGTGGTATAGTTGAGGTGTTTGCGTTCCTACCACGTTGAAGTCGAAAGCACCTGTACCTATACCTGATTTGCACTGTCGGGGAAAATGAAGTGAAAAGATGATGCGCTACCTCATCTCGAAGACAGCTTGATTACGCAACAAGAATTAGCATGGTCAGCGATACTTGCGAGGTGAGAGAGTAAACTAGATCTTTCTTCGCTTTTGCTTCGAATTTGCTTCGGTGCTTCCTGTTGCTTTGTAATGTGTGTACGAGATACATGGGAGCTAGCAACATTGATGGTCATTTCTGCAATCTGATGGCATGACCTTTGTACGGCTGAAAGGCCTTTAGTTGCATGTTGAAGCAGAAATCAGGAAAACTTAATGGTTTGGTGTCGACGACGACGATTACAGCATCTACTTAGATGATGAATGCGACGATGTACACAAGATCATGTGTGATTGCTGCGCTGTGGCCGGTACATCGATCGGAGCAAGAACAGAGACCGCGACCGACTTGTGATTGAAACATCATATAAGTGCATCAAGATCGATACCTAAACTTGTTTTTCGTTGCTTTCGTAATGCATTCCGTCACATTTGACTAGAAACAAGTGGGTGGAACGTGCGTACGCAAGCTTTTGACAGCCTAATATGCATGAATGGGTCCCGCGGGTACACTTTGTCCAATCCCTCGAGCGAACAACAATCTTACGCGAGTACGATCAGTGATCTACCGAAAGGGTACGTGTCGTTCAGGAAGGATCCCTGTTCTTCGTAATCTTCGCCCATTTTTTCTTGGACTCGTTCAAACATGTGAACTATTGTTACTACTGCCAGTACGAAGGAGAGAGTTCTTAGTGGACTATGAACGTAGATAGAAGGGATGATTTTGTTTCCTCGAAGAGAACCAAGTCGCGCTAACTCCTATGTGCGAGATTGCTTCAGATGAAGGCTTTGACTCAATCGTCAAGTCATGTTCAACCAGCCACGACATGAAGCAAACTAAGTCAGCCATAGTTAGATAAAAAGTGCCATAAGTATCCGACAACGATCAAGTCTATTGAATATCGACTGAAAAGCTACTCAAGTCGTCGAGTACATCTGCACATGCTCTCAAATACTTTGTACATGCTCTCAAATAGTAAAATTGCAACATATCGCACAAGCTCGCATGTCTCGTCGATCCGACTAAGTTACTGCACTTCATCTATCTCCTCATCGGTCCGCGCATCTTAGACTGGATCATCTCGTCCAGTAGCGCATTCTCCAGCATTTGCTCGCGAGCATCCAAAATCTTGCGGTACGACGGGATCACCGAGTCCGAGAGCATGTCTAAACACTCGGGACTGTCCATGTCAATGCCTGCTGATAGACCCGGCGTCATGCAGACACAAGTCTGGAATAAACTCAGAGGAGCTGCATCACGTCTGCCCTTGACCTTTTCACTTTGAACAGTCTGCACGACACAGTAGCCACGTTCCCGGATCGGGACACTGCTCGGGTGACTCCGAATGTAATTCTTCGGCCAGTCCCCTCGGCCTTCCCAGACCAGCACGATGCGATCCGACTCGACGTAACGACGACAGACGCCACGGAGCAGCACAGGAATCCCCCTTGCACCGACCGAATCGTCCTGCAACATGCACTCGGTCTTGAGGTACACGACACTCCCGTCTCCTTCCGTCGTCGTCCCCTCGAGATCTTTCATGTTGCGCACCGCCCTCTTCTGTGCACCCTTCCACATGGCTTGACTCACTGTGTCCAGGGCAAACGGCGCAACTTTGGCCGTTGCAAAGCGCACGAATGGACCGTGCGGGCCTTGCGTGACCACCTGCGCGTCCGAGAGCTCCGTAATCGAGTCCGTCAGTCCCGCGTCTTGGAACACTTGAGCCACTTGAGCGTACTGCTCCGCCACGTTCTTCTCCATTGTCTCGAACGTCAAGGCGTCGACACTCGCGTCGTACTCGAGCGAGTCATTGTTCAAGGTCCGCATGGCTACAAAGCCCGAATCCGCGTCCCGCTGCGCTTGCAGACGGAACGCCTGCAAGATGCTCTGCAGCCGATTGGCATCCACGCCGCTGCTGGCCGTGGGCAGAGCGTGGATGGGCACTGTCGGTCGAGCAGGTACCAATTGAGAGTCCCTCTTTTTTTCAGCTGCTGGTTGCAGCTGGAAAACGGGTGACCGGAGGCGCGGTCGCTTGACAGGAGCTGCAAAAGGACACGAGCGTTTGTTGCCGACGTTTGCTTTCGTGTAGGCAGTCGGTGCTAGAAACGCAGCCAGAAAGGCGTCGCGGGTTTGTGAACTCAAGTGCGTCCTGTCGCACGACAGCACCGCAACGTCCGTCCCCGAGTGGTGATGCATCCTTGGCAAAAACAAAAGTGAGCAGTCAAGTCGGACGCGGGGATTTTCGGCTGATAAAAAGCCAGAGACGCGAAAGTTGCGGGAACGCTCTTGCAGCAACTTGATCGCGCAACTTGATGTCATCACTGCTGAATGTGGACAGAAAAAAGACGCAATACGGACTGCCGGTTGGCAGACGTCCTTGAAGCTGGGCATAATCAAGGCGGTTGGCTTCGACTGGACGGTTTCTGAGCTGATGAGTGGTCCTACGACTGGACGATGAGCTTTTCAGCCAATCATCTTTGATGCTGGCTTCGCCTTGTTGCGCAGTGCTGGCTTTGATTACGGCTACGGTCGGTGTTGACGGAAGCAAGTATCGCGTTGGAATGGCCTGAACCGTTGGGACAGTCGGGTGAGACGCCGTTCCTGGACAGGCTGAAGCTCTGTCGCGTGAAGATGCGTACAAGCAAACAAGATTACGTCGGTCTGGAGAGACCGGAGTGTATCACAAGCTGCTTGTGGTTGAGTTCAACTAGTTCTGCTGAAACTATTCTTTTATTTATTTAAGGTGCCGAAATGCCTACAAAGTCAGTTGATATGAGATGGTTTGCTGTCCCGAAATTCTTTCTAGGGTGGCAACGTAAGGTGATCCATGCGAGGCACTTCTGCCTGTTGGACGCAGAATTAGTGGCTGATTTCGAGCTGCCTGACTGCAACACGTCCGGCAGAGGTCCCTCTATGACCGAGCCTGCAAACTTGATTTCTTCCCGCAGCGCGACACGTTTGTAACAAAACAATTCGCTCAGATTCCACCTCAATAGCTGATACGAACTCTGCGAAGCAGAAGCACAGATAGACGGATAGATTCCTACACACAGTGCGTGAGGCGACTGCTCCGCGCACAATAATATTTGACCAACGGCGCATGTGCTGTATGCACAAGTGGGGTGACTCACGCTACTGTGGCTGATTGCGGCCTCGTTCGCTCGTCTGGGAGTCCGAGCTCGAGTTACTCACGCAATGCCGGCTCCGGCTGTTCCACGCAACCGTCCGTTACATGATGGTCCTTACAACTGGTCGACTACGTATCAACGTAAACCAATTAGTTTACGGTCCTTTGCCGTATGCGTCGTCCATGGCATAATCAAGCGCTCAGCTTGAGAAAAACGTTCAGTTTCGCAGAGGACAGTCGCAGATCGCGACGTCTTCAACACTTCGACCGACCCTTCGTCAGAGCGAAAGGCGTGAGACCCTAGGAGCCTTATTCTGTGACCAAACTTGCTTCATTGTCCCCAACTTTATCAGTGGTTAATTTTTCAAGACGATTGGGCCATTAGCACAAGCGCCTTTTTCCGTTGCTTCGTTTTGTGTGATGGCAGCGATTAATGTGACGTCGTCGACTTAGATATGGGAGAACTTTCATCAGTCGGTTGCGAGCGGCTGTTGCCTTTGTATGACATCAAAAGTCGGCACACGTTTTGGGCATGTGGCCGTCCGCAATTGGTAGTAGCTCTGGTACAGAAAGAAACCATGCCCCTTAGCTGCTTGTAGTCAGTCGCTCGTTAGTAAGACAAACGTATCGTAATGAATCGCCTCGATGTCTGTAAGTGTCTGTATTCCGACTAAGATGCACACGTTTACGCAAACTGATCGGCATTGTTGAAATTTGGCGGACGAAGCCATCGGTTCACATGTGTTTCCTATCATCGCCATCTCAAGATCGAAACATTGAGTCGCTCCCGTGCTCGCGAGCGGTTTCATGTCCCCAATTCTTATCTGACGGCTCCATCCCTTATCATTTTTTGATTACGATATTCATCTGCGGAAGTGGTTGCACTGCCCAGCAGACCACAATCAAGAATCTGCTTGGACAACACGTCTGGTACCGACCGAGACTGGAGCTCAGCTGACTCGTATGTCAACATCGGAGCAGGTGGTGTGTTTAAGACTTCCGACCTCGATACTGCAAACTCACTTCTTTTTAGATGGAAATCGACCGCGACGATTTCGCTACCAAAGTCGTTTGGTCTTGCTCAGAATTTTGGAATAAACTAGTCTTGGACAAACGCGCACGATATATAGCGACGTTGTTGCTGCTTGGCGACATACGTACTACCACAAAAGCCAATAATCTCGATACGACTGGTGAATTGGCTAGTGATCTTAATATGCTGAGTCTAATCCAACACCACACGTTTACAGAGCTTTTGACGTGAGGCAGCGACCTCGCTACTAAACGATGACATTGCACCACAGAGAAATGCATTAGGTGACAGATTTATGTCTAGCTGTAAAATACATATGGTCCTCACTACGCAGTGTGTTTTCTTCTTTTTTATGGCTAAGGTGTAGCCAGGACTTTACCTTCAACCATCTTTTAGTATCTGGATGTATGGAGGCGACCCCCAAATTCATGCTTTTCAATCGTAATATGAAGTTAGATCCCTAGAGATTCCTCCCAGCACACCTGACGTGTGAAAGAGTGTGATATTCATTTTGCGTAGATATGTCAAGACTTCCGGCTTTTCATCATACGAGGAAACCTACCAAATTCAATATGACCCGAATAACGTAATTGTATCATATTCTAAAACTTAGATCAAATGATAGAGGTGTGAAAACCCTCTGTGTTGTGCAGCCGTCGATTACAGTAAACGACCTAGGATTCGTATTCATCGGCTCATTCTAACATGATTGCGGTCGAAGCGCTTCTCCATTCACCTTTCACCGCGCGACAACAACAACAGCTCTCCGACCTTCTGTGTGCGAAAAGCAACAGGAGGGTGGCGGATAGTGCACGCGTTTAACAAATTGAACGCTGCAACGGTACCGGCTCAGACGCCGATACCGAGGAAGGACGTAATCATTGATGGTATGTCAAAGAGTACCATCTTTTCGTCCATGGATTTGATGGATGGCTTCTATCAAATCCTAATGCGGGAACGGGATATACCCTATACCGCAGTTAGCACGCCTAGCGGCATGCTCTGGGAATGGCTAGTAATGCCACAAGGGCTCAGTAATGCCCCTGCCACGTTCAACAGGTGTGTATCACATCTGTTGAGGCCAGTACGAGAATTCGCGCCGAGTTATTTCGATGACGTATTCATCCATAGTCGAGCTATGGATGGAAAGTCGGACGTTGAGGTTCACAAGTACCACGTCCGACAAGTTCTTACAATCATGCGAAAGCATCAATTGTATGCAAACCTCAAGAAGTGTATATTTGCAGCAAGCGAAATACCACTTCTTGGGTGCATCGTTGGTAAGAACGGTGTACGTCCTGATCCCGAAAAGATCAAGGCGATCACCGACTGGCCCGTGCCGGTCGATGTCAAAGGTCTTCGAAAATTCCTTGGGCTAGCGGCGTATTTGCATAAGTATTCACGCAATTACGCCGAGATGACTGTACACCTCTCTCGTTTGTTGAAAAAGAACGAGAGGTGGTTATGGAACGCTGAATGTCAGCGCTCCTTTGAGGGTATCAAGCAGAGCTTGATACAATCCCCAGTCCTAGCAATAGCCGATCAGGACAGGCCATTTCATGTGGTCTGTGATGCCAGCGATTTCGCAATCGGCTGTGCATTAATGCAGTACGACCTTGAAGGCGTTGAACGCGTCGTCTGCTATCAGTCGCGTCAGCTGCAACCAGCTGAGCGGAACTATCCAGTGCATGACAAGGAACTCCTTGCCATGAAGTATGCACTCGCGAAGTTCAGAGTCTATCTATTAGGAGATAGACCCTTCGTTGTTTACACTGACCATGCGTCCTTACGCACGGCAGTGAACAGCCCGCACCTTTCACAACGAATGGCGCGGTGGTTGTCATTCTTTGCAGAATACAACTTTACGGTCGAGTACAAACCAGGACGACTTAATGTCGTCGCTGATGCACTCTCACGTCGTCCCGACTTTGAAACAGTCGCGAAACCCAACAGTGAGACAGTCACTGTTGCGGTTATGACGTCCTCAGTTCCATCTACAACGTTGTATGATGATGTGAGGCGGGCATACGCCCAAGATGGTGAGATAGTGAAGTTGTTGTCACATCTCTCCCAACCATCTCGAGAATCGTTGAAACGATTGTCGTCTGCGTATCGATCTGCATCAGATCGATACACTACTCGTAACGGTTTACTGTATTATACAGCCGTTTCTGGTGACACACCACGTGTTGTCATTCCAGATGATACTGATCTGCGTTTGCGGATCATGTTCGAGTATCACGATGCTCCTATAGGAGGACATCGTGGCCGAGAGAAAACATATCTCACGGTAAGTCGAGACTTTTACTGGCCCCGCCAGTATCAGTTTGTGCGAAAGTATGTTCGCGCATGCGAAGTCTGCCAACGAGTGAAGTCAAGTCCTTCACTGCGTGCACCTTTACAGCCTCTACCGGTTCCGGCTGAGTGCTGGGAATCCATCTCAATGGATTTCGTCTTTGGGTTACCCAAAGACGCACGCGGGAATACGGGTATTCTCGTATTTGTTGACAGATTCAGCAAAATGGTACACCTTGTGGCTGTACCAGAGACAATCACGGCAAGTGGCTGTGCTTGTGTCTTTATTGACACCATCTTCCGACTTCATGGGTTGCCCCGTGAACTCGTATCAGACAGAGATCCACGATTCACTGCTGATTTCTGGCGTTCCGTGTTCAAATCACTCGGGACGCGCTTGAAGATGTCAACATCTGATCATCCAGAGTCAGATGGTCAGACGGAACGTGCCAATCGTGTCCTTGAAGAGATACTTTGAGGATACGTACACTCCTTTAAGAGTTGGAGTGAGTTTTTGCCAATGGTAGAGTTTGCCATCAACAACTCGGTGCATGCGTCCACGACACATACACCGTTTTACGTGAATGGCTTGCGCCATCCGCGTGTACCCACCTTACTAGAGTGTAACTCTGGTTTAAGGGGGGAGGGACTCGCGCGAGCAAAAACCGATTTGGTTCACGCTCATCACGCTCTGACGAAGAAGTCATTGCGTTTGATGCCGATATCGATAACATCGATATC